TTACTGACTTGGATACTAGCTAACATATTGCGCAAAAACTGTCAATTATGTTTGCAAAGCACTAGCTCTTGTCATACATAATAGTTACACCTTCGAACAGAAAAATACGTGAATCCTTGATCGAGCCTTTCCAGATTGAGTATTGTTCAGATTGTCAAATGCTGGTAAAATGTCAGCAAATATTCACCGTTTCGTGTAATATCGATCAGCCATATGTTACCGTGGGTGAAGCTGATTATTATCAAAACATATACAGCAGCTTAAGCTTCAGGATAATAAAGACATAAATTGAGTCTAAACGAAAATGATTCAAGAAATCTCTGTTGAATATGATGGGAGAAAAGAGTTGTTTTTCTGTTAATGAAGTAATTTATAGTTGCTATACTAAGAGGCGTCTAACGGGATCTGGTGGTCAGGCTCGCTGACGTCAACATGTCATCGTATAGATCGATGTTCATGCTGTTGATGAATGGATTGTCTGACTTAGACTCAATTATTTACAGACCGCCGCCATATAGGTGGAATATTGCTGAGTGCGGCGTAAAACTAAACTCACTCACTATTGAAACCAAACTAATTCCCTCGTATGAGTAATGTTGCTGGCGATCTATAGCCCGGTTCTGTAATATGTTGTAGAACAATAGTTGAGGATTCTAAAATGGTCTCAAACTAGTTTTAAGTATATACTTAGGGGATAACTGTTCTGTGTTTGAGGAATCGGGGACGTATACCGGTGGTTATATAGTTGCAAATTTAGTTATATCGGCGACGCGCAAGCGTCATCATCATCAAAATGTTCTGGAGAGATTTTAAATTTTTTTTTACTCCATGTAACCATGTAAAAAAATGTCAAACCATCATATTCTATTCTGTTGCTGTGGTACCATTGACTCAACCACATGATATTATTGGCAAAGCGCCACATTTGTGTAATGAATGTAAAAACCTAGCTTCACAATTTGCAAAACAATATCAAGAGACGTTTATGAAATTGAAATATTTACCCATAACAAAAAAAATGGTTAATAATTCCCTTTCAGAATCTCCAATAGCAACTTTACCTGACATTTGCGTCATACCTGACTTATGCTTATTGTAGTTTTAGTATGACGATAGTATGCGCATATGTGTATTTTGTAGGACTTGTCCATGAATCCAGGTCATGTGTGTGCAATTTATGTGATTATTTTACGAAGCTGAACTGACATGAAAATGATTTCCACAATAGTTCCCGTTCACTGAACTGCAATAATGTTTTAGAAAAGGGTACCTCCTACCGTCTTCCTTATTACCATAATGTTATGTACCAGACATGTTGCACAGCAATAAAAGATAATGTCATGACATGTCTACATTGTACGCCAAAGTCGACGTCATTTTGTGAGCTACATGATTGGTTGGACGTTTTACGTCATTACACTCAAATGTAAATGCGTAATATTTCCTTCAAGTATTCAATGCAAAGACATTTATCACCAAAGAGTGATATAATGAAATAACGTCATCAACTTGTGTCCACTTCTATTCAGAATATAAATATGGCATTACTACAGAAGTTTATCGGTATAAGATTAAATCATCACAACTTCAACGTACACTTACTAAATTTAGATGTAAGGCTCACAACGTCAAAGTCCAAGCGGCACGATTTGCCAAAATTCTAAATGTAATAGATATCCAATGTCCATTTTGTAATCTATCTCAAGAAGATGAGTACCATGTATGCCCAAAATATTTAGAAATAAGGGAAAAATATGTATGCGATATATTACATACGTTAATCTTTACAAATGCTACCGTTAGGAGAGAAATATCTAAGTACAATTCAAAATCTAGTACATATGTCGGCTGAGATCCATTTCCTAAGTGTGACAACTGGTAGTTTAGATAACTTCTTTGTGTACCCTTCTGACAAATGTTAATTGGCACAGCTCCAAAGCCGAAAGGAATGGACACGCAATGCCTTTTTAGTAGGAGATCAAATGGACATGTGACATGACCAGCCCGACACGCGGTCAAGACAAATGCTGCATGATAAATAGAAAAGACAATTTGACTCCAAATATATAGATATACTTCTGACAAAGAGGGAATAAATAAATTGCAGGTAAGGTTGAGGTATGCACTTGCAGGAGCATGGCGTTGCATCTGAACGCAACATGTGATCAGAGTGGCCTTTCACACCAAGCATAAACAAGACGTGATGTATTTACACACAGAAGTCAAGACATGGTTCCATTTGTTAAAATTATTGGCAAAACGTTGAACAGCCAAGGCAGATAGTCGCTGAATATCTCTTGCCGTATCATCACATGTGACTTTCATAAGATTTTCTCTTCCTTAGTGTATGCTCACTCACTCACTCACTCACTCACACTCACTCACTCAACACAGTCACTCACTCAACCAACACACCCACCTACTCACTCACTCACTCGCTCTTCACTCCAGAGCCAGGTTACAGATAAAAGAAATGTCCGCGTAGAAATGAATAAATCATGCCGAAGATACATGAAAACAGTGAATATATGGACGACCTTCGCCAATGCAACTGTATTGTAAGACTATTTTCAGTGTTATCTTTGTATTCTTAAAGTTTTTCATCAAAACCACTGTTTGAACAGCCACATAAAAGTGTTTTCAATGTTAACTTTGTATTACGTCTGTTATTTTTCACAATAAGATGATTTGCATTACGATACAACAGATAAGTTTACAGTATGGATTTTTGTCACGGCATACAATTGTCAATTGGGAGCCACGAACACCATCTGGTCCTTATGCCAGATGTGAAATATAAATACAAATATTGATCAGCCTTAGCATACAATTACTGTATCGACTTACTGTCTGTTATGCATTATGCGGCAACGATATGATGTCTTGGACCTAAACAAATGCCAACAATACAATCACATCGCCTGTAACGATATTTTCTTTTAACATCATGATCAGTACGTTCGTTTTGCATTTACTTTCTAGAGATGTCTTGTTGACTGTCATCTATATGTGTTTACTCGGAAATAAGTTTTTCTTGCTTGACGCTCAAGTGAAATTAATTTGTTGCCTGAAAGCATGTGTCAGCAGAGGAACTCGCACACGAATCTTATACTATGCGGATGACACCATTGTGTCGAATGTCAGGGATCCACATGAGTGAGTTTAGTTTTACTCCGCACTCAACTATATGGCGGCGGTCTGTAAATAATCGAGTCTGGACCATATAATCCAGTGATCAACAGCATGAGCATCGATCTACGAAATTGAGATACGATGACATGCGTCAATCAAGTCAGCGAGCCTGACCATCCGATCCCCCTAGTCACCTCTTACGACAGGCATGGGTTACTGAAGATCAGTTCTACCCCGGATCTTCACGGGTATATCCACATAAGTACTTCGAGCTATCCCAGGTTCGACATGAACACGAAGTGGTGACTGAAATGATGCAAGATTTCACTTCGACAAGCATAATTTCGACACAAAGGTGTTTGATTGTATAAGATTTGTATATGCAACATTCATCAGATGTTCTATTGTCTTACCTTCCCCGGCCGCGTCATACTAAAAGACGTTAAAATATGGTACTTGTAACATTATGTTCCCTGCCTGGCGCTCGGCATTAATGGGTACAGCAAGGACTGGTCGGGTCGGATGTGTCTGAGTGGGGTATTCATGCGTAACTGCGGCAAGTCTGGGCTAGTACAAGCAGCCACACATACGCACGCATGCACGTCGCCATGTGAGCGAAATATTCTCAAGTACGACGTTAAACCCCAGTTCACCTCACCCCTATTGTCTTACCTGTAATGTGAGAATGATATCCGTCAACTTCACGCAGGTGTATGCTACTTGAGGCTTGTTTGAAATGGTGAAGGTACTTGTCAAACGTTTTCCTCGTAGGAACGAAATTATTTTTCATCCATATACCTGTAAATGACGTACAAATAAATCTGTTATTTTAATCCCAAAATTCGTTGCCATCATGATGAAAACAGGGCTCTGGAAGCGTTACGTACACAGTGCACAGTTTATTGACGAATTCTGAACACATCGTATCATTTGATAACTGGGATCTTTTATGCAAACGATCACAATTTTTGTGTATAGAACAATGAACTTCATATCGTTAACAACTGTATCACATCCCAAAAGATCGCAATTAAAGATGAAGTGAAGTAACAATCACTATCGAATGACATCACTCTATGTTACTGAAATCGGTAAGCAGTGCCCTTTACACTGAAGATGCTTCTTATAGATTATTAATACACATTTAAGTTTATACACAGACATGTCGGAATAGAAATGTGTCTTTTGATGTTAAATGAATCTAATAAAAGTCATAAACGTCTTGTGCATTTTGCAGGATAATCTATAATCTGATATAGCTCTCAAATGAAGCAGGGGTGAGTTTCTCTATTACTCAGTTGCATAATTATAACTATAAAACAATCTTTTATAACACTGCCGCTGTGACTATAAACTTTAACTCACTCACTCACTCTTTTATAACACACATATAAAATAATAAATTATTTGAGTTAAATAATAATTTTTTTAAACATGTAAAGTAGATCAACACATTGATAAATTCATAAAATGTCTCGACCATCCCATATTTGTACGACCACTGATCATATTCGATACAAAAGATCATCTTCACATCGTGAAAGATAGCGAAATACATTCTTGATTTAAACTATTTTTGTAAGCTTAAATGTATACCCCGAATTCACATTATCACAAGGGAAATAATATAGATATCATCATGTACCAAAACACTATATGTTACCTTCCCAACACAGTAATTGTATCCGTGTGGCAAGTGCCGCTCTGTGGATGTTCTTCTGAATGGACATTTATGTACAAGATCAGGCGAGAGATTTAAATGGAACTTTCCTTGCTTTTTGAACACATGTATTCACCGTTCTCACAAGTAATCCCGAGCTTACCATATCTCGTCCAACACCAGTAGTAACATTCCTTAAATAATCCACATCCAGCCGGTTCCATTTCTGGATGTTGCAAGATCCTGTCAAAAAGATCCGTGGAGCCACATTTATCAGCTCCTAAAAGATGAAAATACGGCATACATGTGACAATCTCTTGGCCTTCTTTGGTGACATCCTTCCAGCATGGATTCTTGTAGCCTGGCAGAAACTTGGGTCTTTTCTGTAACAAAAACATAAGGCTTGCAAATAATATGAATAAGTCATTTTGTTGCGCCATGACTTGTAGCATTGCTAGTCAGGAAATAGGGCTGTTATATTAACAACTGAAATTACCAACATCAACAGGTCAGATCGTTTCCTTGGGTTCATCATTTAAACCCTTGAAAATTCCACCTCAAAGTAATTTTGATAAACAGTACACAACATTCAAAATACACAGACATCATTGTGTTCATCCGTTATGGTGGTTCTGTTGAAAGTATATCGTAGTCAGGATTAAACAAATATGGACATGATAAAAATGGCAGTTTACCTTGCAAAATAGATCTTCTGACATGATAGGGTCGGACGTTCCGTTGCATAACGACGACGTATATTCATATGTCCATTTCGATTCATATACGTATCCCTCTTTCGGAGTAGGCTTAGTCCAGGTAATGACACTTGGAGATATGTTTTGTGAAACTTGTGCAAAGATCCTATGCGATACGTATTTCATCTGGCTTTGATTTGATATCATCAGAAACACAACCATTGCCACCAAGCTTAGAACAGCTAGAAGTAATGCCTTCTTCTTCAGTCTCATCCCTGTAAGGACTGAGATCGTTGATTCTACAAAAGAAATAATACAATTACTTAATATGCATATTTTGAATGAATGGCTTAGATTTGATGTCCCTTCACAGTATTTCAATTCTGTCAAGAGGGGAAAGGCGAATCCAACACATTCACATGTTCCTCTTTGGTAAAATCCACGATTACGAATCAAATATCATAATTAAGTTGAATCTATGAACTGAAACAGCTATCAAAGGATTCTGGCACACTTGAAGGGCGCATGTGTTCTAAATTCAGTCCATTTAGTGACTAGAATCAACGTACTAGCATATATTTGAAGACTGTCATGTTCAAACGTGGATGTTCCAGACGAATGACAGAGACAACTTAATAAAAAACGTTGGTGTCCCAGAAGAACTAAAATATATTTTTTCTGATAGATGCCATAATCTAGATATGAGAATGTCAACATGAATTAACTAACCTGCCATGGCTGTATGGTGTTACTGCTGATGACTGTAGGTGTATTAGGTTTACAGAACTTCACCTAGTGAGTTTACTAAGAAATGACTATGCAGAAACCACATCTGCGTTCAACGCTGCATTGAATTCACATTAAATGAACTTGATTGGAGAAGACAAATGCAAGGATCAATATGTAATGGGCAGCGTGTTGACTTTGGTTCGACAGCAAGATGTAATAAATACTTGAATGTAGGAGTGTATAAAAGCGTTGCAGGTTCAGATAATAAATCAATTCGAGAGATTTAAGGGGTTGTGACGTTGAAAATCTATACACTATGTTATCTCCGCATATGCTGGTTAGTGAGAGGAATATACTCTTTTCAGATCCAAGATAACAAACCGGTGTAATCTCCAGGGTGTTGATATCACACATTTGTTCATGTTTGATCCTGACGCATGAGCTATACTTATCATATTTCGTGACCATAGAGCATGACCGAGTGAATGAGAGGGAAATATCCTTTTTAACCATGCCTCAAAAATCACATGCGAGTTTTCATCTGTGTACTGCTAAAAAGGTGGTATTTGTGACGAAACTGTTTTCCACGCAGAGACTGGCTATGCCCAGAACACTTCTGGAGACAGTTTAGAAAAGAAGTTCTTCCTTAATTTTTTAAATACGATTAAAAAGACATTTATTGAAAAAAACACACTTTCTTTTAAACATACCAGACACTTTGCTAAACGTCCAACAGGTTAGAGTTGTCTGATGAAATGGCTGATTCTGTATCATTTTGGACTTACTGACTGGTAAATCCTTTGTTTGGCAGTTGACAAAAGGAGTTGTTCATTGACATCGACAAACTTACCTACCCACCAGCCCAACATACCCACATACCTACCTACCTACATGCACGCACGCACGCACGCACGCACCCATATACAAATACATACATTGAGTGATGGAATGGTATGATAAGAAAGAGGTAGGATTAGCTGTTGCACAACTTTGAACTTTCCAATAGCGTTGGCGCTATATTGTTAGCGTGTAAGCAACCAAGAAGGACGATATGGATCTTGCACCGCCTGGCCAAGTTCGGCTAATGTACATGGAGGATGACCTTTGACGTTGATGTATGTGTCTCCCGACCTTGCCCTAGATGTGGTCAATTGCCTTACCTTTCACGGGGAAAGGTCAGGACATTGCATCCTTAATGTAGTCAGATACGTTATGTGCAAGGCCAATGCGGGAGAAAAAAATATCGTATTGAAAGAGAAAACGTGGAACAGCATGACACTCATAGGGCACAACAATTGGCGCCAGGGTCCTACTATGGACTGTATGTTGTGATCCTCTCACACCTCTCACCTCTCTACTAGGTACCGTTGTACAAAGCGATCGTAGAGCTGGACTTACATGTAAGAACTCCCATACTTTAACATATACTTACTACAGTGGTAGCGCTGAGGTTGTTTCGTACAACGACACCCTGCACCATACCATTTCAGACCAACCCCTGTCATGGTGTCGACGTTGAGGTAATCAAAAATGACCCTATACCCCTCATTACCTGGTCGGATGGTGCCACGTTTCATGTGTGTTGGAGGTTAGATTTCGGTTCATAAAGCGTTATAACTTTTTTTATCACAGCATCTATATTTCATAATATCCTACCTTTTGGAGATTATATATACATGTATAAATGTCATATAAAATAAAACAAAATAATTAAATAGTTGTAATTTGGCACCTCTGTTCTTCTTCTACTATCACCATTATATTCGGGATGACGACGTTTTGCTTTGAGCATTTCAGCGTATCGACTAATGCAGTAGCCTTAACGTTTGTTTTACTTGATTTGTCACACGTCTATGTACAATGTAAGACATACACCTCTTTTGTGTGACTCATTGCACGGAATAGCATAATTCATTCTAAGGGCGTCATTTGAACCATAAGTTGGTATCACCCGTGAAGGTTCGGGTTAGAATGTACCTTCAGCAACCCATGCTTGTCGTAAGAGGCGACTAACGGGATCGGCTGGTCAGGCTCGCTGGCTTGGTTGACACATGTCATCGGTTCCCAATTGCGCAGATCGATGCTCATGCTGTTGATCACTGGATTGTCTGGTCCAGACTCGATTATTTACAGACCGCCGCAATATAGCTGGCATATTGCTGAGTGCGGCGTAAAACTAAACTCACTCACTCATAAGTTGGTATCAGTGAAAAGGTCGAAATATATGGAACGTTCATATCAACAGGTGGTATCGCGGACAATGGCATCCCCCTTTGAACTGATAACAATTTTCTGTTGGTTTATTTCCCATTTAAGCATCACATGGTACATAACCTCATACCGCTAAAGTTAATTCCAAATTTCCCCATCTTGAAACTATATATGAAATGTACCCCATGAGTCAAAACTGATATTGGAGATGAAACCCTCTACTTGTTTCATTGTAAGTATTTCAACGATCAGAGAAAGAAACTACTTCCAACACTGTACATCAAGAAACCAGCGGTATTTAATATGATAACTAAAGTTTATTTCAAAGTAAAAACGTCTCGGATTTGATTAAATTGTCAACCTTTTGTCTCCCTATATTATGCAATTTTAAATAGACTCTTATGTCGCCATTACTTCCTTTATGTATTTACCTGTGTTAATCCTCATCATGCTATGTATGTAGCCTTGAGAGAAATAAAGTTCAGTTCAGTTAACAACCTGTACAAATTTGGTTAGTGTGTTTAAGAAGGCCCATTTACATTGATCTACCATACAATACTGTATACGAACCTACCTGCCATGTTGGTTATTGCTAAATCCGCGTGAATGTAGAGCACCTTCTGATCACGACAAAGGATACCCCGACGATCGAGTGTTATTTTGATGGAACGTATATACTCACAGTATACGTTGTTGTATGCGTTTGCTTGTACAGGATGGGCTACTACACGCACAGGTGAAAGAAGAGGACAGTGATACCCCACCAAACGCTTTGATAAGAAGTATTCTGATTTTATATATGGCGCGCGCGCACGCACGCACGCTCACACACACACACACACACACACTTTATCCAACACACCCAATTTCCTATCGTATATATACCCGGTTTTAAGTTATAGGAACTCACTAAACGAGTGGCATGTTACCATTTTGTAGAGTGTTTGTGAGTTCCTATAACTTAAAGCCGGGTATATATACGATAGGAAATTGGGTGTGTTGGGTGAAGTGTGTGTGTCTGTGTGTATATAAATATTGCACATACTAAACGAGTGGCATGTTACCATTTTGTAGAGTGTTTGTAAGTGCAATATTAAATTAATATTATTGTAAAGAATGTGTCCTATTAGGTGTGTAGTAAGTTGTTACGTGTCAAGTAATGGAATTTATGGTTTAAAACTTTTCATGCTGTCGCTAGCTCATGTCTTTGCGTGAACGGTTATCGTTTACACTGATAGTCATCGCCAGTGTCTACTGGTTATCTGATGTACCATAGACTCAGGGACAGGTGTGCGTTACAAGAGACGCTGAAATAGCCTCAAAAGAACTTAAATACTTTATTGAATCTTGTGGCCCCCAGTTCAGTTACGTGACGGGAAGACAATTTCATTGAGGTTTAATCTAACGAGGTATAAATTACTGAGTTACATGACGGTTGGACATAAATGACAGTATACTGTAGAGTGGCTTTGTGCAAGGCAAACCTTTGAGCAAGGCAAATCTACTTCCACAAAATGCCTTGTTTTGCCTTTAGGTATCATTATGCACAGGGTACACACACATGTCATTATTAATAATAATAAGGGCATTTACACTACTGCCTAAAAGTTCATCCCCTTTGAACGCGATCAGAACGCGTGTAACATGCATGTCACACGGGTGTGCAATCCGTTTGAGTATAATGCGCTGAACTCCATTCGTTAGGTAAATGTTCATAGCGCTAACATACGGTGCTCAACGGCTCTGATTATCATTACCCCGGACAACCCAAGCTGTGCTAGAAGGTTAAAAGTCACATGACTTATCCCACCGGGTACCCATTTACTGCTGGGTGAACAGAGGCAATTTTGAACAAACTCATTCGCCTAGGTGAGACCACGTGTATCACATGTGCTTCGTTGTGGGGCAAGGACTGAAGTCAAGTCAAGCTGCCAAATACTGTCACCCATCCAAGACTCTCCCCGCCCAATGTTGCTTAACTTCAACTGATTTGTGACCTGAGCTCTATGCACAGGAACACACACCCCACATTATGCACAGGATACAACACATACGCATGTCATTATGCACAGGATACAACATATACGCATGCCATTATGCACAGGATACAACATATACGCATGTCATTATGCACAGGGCACATAATGTACGCATGTCATTATGCATGTAGGGCAAGTATGTATATCGTATATCGTTCTGTTAAAGACAAATATGTACATACGTTATTATGCCATATATGTGAGAACATCAAACTGTACAAGGCAGGGTAGTTACAGTTTCATAGTTCTGGGCCGCTACGCAAACTGACATACTCTGACATAGGACCGCCTCCGTGGTGTAGTGGGTAGAGCGTCCGCCCGGAGAGCGGAAGGCCGCGGGTTCGATCCCCGGCCGCGTCATACCAAAAGACGTTAAAATGTGGTACTTGTTGATCCCTGCCTGGCGCTCGGCATTAATGGGTACAACAAGGACTGGTCGGCTCGGAGTATACTGTGTCTGAGTGGGGTATTCATGCTTCACTGCGGCATGGTATCTCAGTGGGCTAGCACTATAAAACCAGCTTCAGTCTGGGCTTGTACGCTAGCCGCACATACACATACACACGCATGCACGTCGTCATATTAGCCAAATATTCTCAAGTACGACGTTAAACCCCAGTTCACCTCACCTCACATAGCCATTCATGCTGTCGCTAGCCCATGCCTTGGCGTGAAAGGGTATCGTTCAAACTGATAGTCATCGCCAGTGTTATCTGACACGTGACACACTTCAAAATTATTGATGGCAACAGGGTTTTAGAGGAAAAATTATAAGACTGTGGTTTTTTGATAATCCAACCAAGTAGTCAAGTGCCCTTTTTCTACGAAGTTACTAAAAGATGAAAGTAGAACCAAAAACAAAAGCTCAAAAACATGCTAGGATCTTATCAATTTTCCATGTGTAAATTTTTTGTACAGAGAATATTGGTATGTGGAACGACATGTAAAGTTACCAGGCCGTACATGTGGACAATCAAACATGAACATTTGAAATAGTAATGAAGGGGACTGATGTGAGCCCTGGGAATCGTGTGTGGTAAATATATCCATCTACAACAAACATAACAGAAGACATTGGTGAGGGTGGTGATTTGAGCCCAGGGAACCATTTGGGATAAATGTATCCAAATATAACAAACATACCAGATCATACATGTAGACAATCAAACATGAACATTTGAAATGGTCAGGGCAGTGATTTGAGCCCTGTGTTATATTTGAGATAAATGTATTCATATAGAACAAACATACCAAACCATACATGTAGACAATCAAACATGCACATTTGAAATGGTCAGGTCAGTGATTTGAACCCTGTGTTCTATTTGAGATAAATATATTCATATAACACAAACATACCAGACCATACATGTAGACAATCAAACATGAACATTTATAATAGTCAGGGCAGTGATTTGAGCCAAGTGTTCTATTTGAGATATAATGTATTAATATAGAACAAACATACCAAACCATACATGCAGACAATCAGACATGAATATTTGAAATGGTCAGGGCAGTGATTTGAGCCAAGTGTTCTATTTGAGATAAATGTATCCATAAAGAACAAACATACCAAACCATACATGCAGACAATCAGACATGAATATTTATAATAGTCAGGGCAGTGATTTGATCCCAGTGTTCTATTTGAGATAAATGTATCCATAAAGAACAAACATACCAAACCATACATGCAGACAATCAGACATGAATATTTATAATAGTCAGGGCAGTGATTTGAGCCAAGTGTTCTATTTGAGATAAATGTATCCATAAAGAACAAACATACCAAACCATACATGCAGACAATCAAACATGAACATTTATAAAAGTCAGGGCAGTGATTTGATCCCAGTGTTCTATTTGAGATAAATGTATCCATAAAGAACAAACATACCAAACCATACATGCAGACAATCAGACATGAACATTTATAAAAGTCAGGGCAGTGATTTGATCCCAGTGTTCTATTTGAGATAAATGTATCCATAAAGAACAAACATACCAAACCATACATGCAGACAATCAGACATGAACATTTATAAAAGTCAGGGCAGTGATTTGATCCCAGTGTTCTATTTGAGATAAATGTATCCATAAAGAACAAACATACCAAACCATACATGCAGACAATCAGACATGAAACTTTACAATAGTCTAGCGAAATCTATTGATAAAATACTAATGATCTGAAAATTGAACGGGTAATTGGTGAATTTGATGTACTAGGTATTAAATTTACACCAGATCTTGAAGACTTATGGGTAATCAACACCAGAAAGAGACAGAAGGAAATTAACAGACTCTTAGCATCTTGGAGAAAAAGAAATTTAACACTTATTGGTAAAATAACAGTAATACAAACTCTAGTAATCTCCAAACTGGTTCATATTTTCAATTCCTTGCCCAACCCACCAGCAGAATTTATCACTTCTCTTGAAAAAATGTTTTAAAATTATTTGGAATGACAAGAATGATAAAATAAAAAGGAATATAATTAAAAACAACTGTGAAGAAGGAGATTTGAGAATGATTGACACAAAAACATTTATAGACGCTTTGAAATTATCTACTTTAAGTCGGTATTTAAAAAGATGTGATAAGGATAATCCATGCAATATACCTTTCAAAGACATATTCAATTTTGGAGCAAATTCTGAAACTTATATTCAGATTGAAAATCTTTTTTGGCATAATGTGCTAAAAGCATGGCACCTATTTTACAAAAACATTATATTGACCCAAATAACATCAATGAAATTCTATTCAGACCATTATGGTTTAATCACAATTTTAAAAATGCCTTAAACTTCATAAAGAGTGAGTGACTGTAGGTTTACGCCACACTCAGCAATATTCCAGCTATATTGCGGCGGTCTGTAAATAATCGAGTCTGGACCAGACAATCCAGTGATCAACAGCATGAGCATCGATCTGCGCAACTGGGAACCGATGACATGTGTCAACCAAGTCAGCGAGCCTGACCAGCCGATCCCGTTAGTCGCCTCTTACGACAAGCATGGGTTACTGAAGATCAATATTCTAACCCGGACCTTCACGGGTAACTTCATAAAGAACTGGGCAGATAAGGGGATTATAAATATTAGGGATATTTGTGATGAAACTGGATTATTGTCAAGAGAATCTTTAAAAGAAATATATGGTATCAAAGGTACTCTTTTAGATGGCAGATATTTACTACATATATTACCTTGGAAAAATATTAATTTAATAACAGTCAAGGATTTAAATATTAACCAATACCAGATATATCTAGTAAAACATCGAAAGGCTGCAGGATTTTTTATGATAAACTTATTTCCAATGATAAAGACCCAAATATTGGTAATAAATGGCAGCTGTTATTTCCCGAAACAGACTTTGATTGCAAAAATATGTTTACAGTATACAGAAAAGGATTGCAAGACACAAAACTTATAGATTTTCAATATAGATTTCTACAAGCTGTTATTTACACAAAAAGGGAATTGCTTAAAATGAAAAAAAGGTTGATAGCAGTCTACGTTGTTTCTGCAATG